CTCTGGCTTACATCAGATATCTGTGAGCTATGACTAATTATTATACCTCTACTGATTTTTCAACATATACGAGTTAATCGATATATTTTGCTGATTCCCTGAAAATCACCGTAAATGGACTGATTCCCTGCAAAAAGGTGCTTCAGTTTGATGAACTGATACACACCTTTTCGGAACACCTAGCGATTTCTTTTAATCGTATGGAAAGTACCGAAATTTTCCCAAAAAATCATAAATATTCTTAATGCAGCTCAGTTAAAGTTATATATAAGGAGGCGGGTCCTATAAAAAGTTAGATTGTTTTGTGTAGCAACGTACTTTCGGCAGCCATCAAATACGTACACAAGCTGTTATTTATAGAAAGGTATAAGGTATTTCCCCAATGCTTTCTTAATCAACAAAGAAAACCGCCAGTATGGGGACAGACGTCTACACACAAGGTAAACACTGTTTTTTTTTTTCTACCTCTAGGATTCTTACAGAGTTTGTTATATGTTTCTTTATGCCTTAAATGCCTTTCAAACCACTAGTGATGAAACGCCGCTTAAAGATACAAATATCACTAAGCGTTGCAATTGCAACGCTTAATGGAATAAATTATTGCATTAATAGTTGACATTCTCAACCGCTAATGCTAAATCGCCGTTTAATGATAGAATTATATCATTAAGCGTCACAAATGCAGAGCAACACTGACGCTTAATAAGACAGCAAATATCTGCATAATCGACGGTGTATCATTACGCGTTGCAGTCGCACCCTTTTATGATATAGAATTTAAGAATGGCTCCAATATCTAAGAGAAACAAACATCCACCCTTTACAATGAACTATCACTTGCAAAAACTTTCATATATGCCCTTGTGTTATCGAATATGGTAACTCTTGGAGTTTTCCCATGTTTTCTAGTTAAGAGAACTTCTTAAATTAAAGCACCGGATATTTAAAGCAGGCAGACAGATAGCTGAGAGAAAGATACAGACAGACAAAGAGATTAATAAAATGGTATTCAAATCCTTTAAAAGAAACGTTTTTTAACTGAAAATACAGAAACAATTAAGCAATTTATTAGTAATTTGATACAACAATTTGAATAGTAAACCTGAATAATTATATTATGTTTGAATATTTTTTAACGAAACTTTGTATTTTGTATTTGATACAGCTTAATACATTTAGTACAATAATAATACAACTTAGTACAATAGGTACTTATAGGAATATTTGTGACTGATTTATGACAATTCAATTATTTCATGTTGTTAAACCTCGGTGGTATATATTGAATTTGTTGTCGAACTACTCATGACGAAATTGTGAATCACGTCGATCATTTATAATTCAACAATTAACTTGTGGTCATGTTGGAACCCTGTGTGTATACAGGGTTAAAAACGCAACAAGCAGATATTGTTATGCAAGAGGAACATCTGCGAAATAATGTAAATATTGAAGAATACAGTGCATAAATTCAAGTTTTCCTGGGACTAAAAAATAATGGACCATAAAAACTAATAATCCTAATCCTATAAAATAATAAATTCGTTGTCCATTTTATACTCCGTGTGAGTGGAACACATTGTAATCCTAGATTGTCTGTCATACCACTGTGCATTCTTTATGTTAACTGTTACATGTTACTTAAGAAATGAATTTAATTTTTGAAGATTCATGAAGACATGAACTACGACGCTTCACGCCGGCATATTTCATGAAGCGCTAATGCGCTTCATGATAATTATACCGGCATGAAGCGTTGAAGTTCATGTACCTCATGAATTTTCAAAAATTAAGTTCATTTCTTATATTTACATTATTTTTCTGATTAGGTGCCACAATTCAACTGCCATTTTTAAAGCAAAACAGTTTGCACTATAGTTTTGACGTCAAGTACGGAATTATGACGTAACAATGGAGATATTCATGTTCATCCATGGTAGTTCATGAGAAAATGAACAATACTCTAATATACAAAGAATCTTAAGGAAACATATTTGGAAATGTAAATATTGTTGAATGTATCATCAATATCATCAGTTGTGGATCTAGGAATAGAATAATAAATAATAAAGATATTTATAAAGATTATAGTTTACTTTACTTTAAGGTAGCTAAGGACACCTGACCCCAAAAAAACCTCCCAATAGATTTTGCTGAAATTTTCACATGGTGCAAAGGAATGTGTAATGAATCTTTAGTGAAAATATGCACATGGCATTGAGGGCAAATGACGGGACCAAGGGGGTAATGAGTTACCTCCCCTTTCCAGTCACTCCAAAAATCATAATACAACATATAAATTACCCATAAAAAATTTATTATGCAATATGCATTCAATATTTAAAATTATTTTTAAACAATTTTGATACTGTAAACTTATTTTAACAATGGATTGTCTGAACAGAGATAAATTAAGAGAATAGTGCTTATAAAACGTTTTAAATTCAACAAATTTGACTATTTTCATGCACACAAATTTGACACTTTTTAAATGCTAAAAAAAATTCTGTCCAATAGAATTTTTATTTTTTATCATTATATGAAAAATTTGTCCAATACCATTCTTCACTCAAAAAATCTTGGTCACATTGAGGGCTAATAAAGGTACCAAATGGTCCACAACTAAACCCCCCCCCCTTGTTTTCCCGTCATGAAAATAAGAATAATGATTGAAGTGCTATTAAAAAAAAAATTGCAAAGTAAATTAGAAAAAAAAAACAATTGAAGAAATAAATCAGAAGTACAAAACAATTACTAATAAATGATTAATGAAAATATTTATATGACATTAAGAGAAATCATAGAGTAATGACATGATGAGTTACCTCCCCTCTCCCCTCACTATAAAACTCATAATTTATCCAATATTAAAATAATCCATAAAAAATTAATTGTTAGATATGTGCTTTATTTTTAAAATAATTCCTCAACAAAATTAAAATATGAATTTATATTTCAACAATAGATTACTTGAATGGAAATGTAATTTTAAAAGAAAACACATACAAAAACTCTTCAACCTTAACAATTTTCATTACTTCCATGCAAACAAATTCTATATTTTCTTATGTTAAATCTTTAAATTAATCTGCTCAAATAGATTTTTTTTTTATAATATTATTATGTGAAAAATTTGTCCAATACTATTCCCCACTCAAAAATCTTGGTGCAGGGCTAATTAACTAGAGGTACCAAATGGTCCAAATCTAACCCCTCCCATTTTCCAGAATTGAAAATAAGAATCAAATTTGGTGTGCTTCTAAAAAAAATGCAAAACAAGAATGTGACTCAATTAGATATTTAATTGGTTCTACAAAAACCTTATTTTACATGTATGTCAATTTTAAATTATATTCCACTTGAAGAGAAGTAGGGATTGAATAAAAGTATTTCACTTCTCCCAATCAAACAAATATGACCATCATAATGAACTTAAAACACCCATATTATTGCATTGTCAAAAACATCTTAATTGCATGCATTAACATGTCAAATATATGCACCTTTGTTGGGAAAAAACATCTTGGCCATGCATACTGAGACAAAAAAAAATACATTTGACATAGCACAATACACATAATTCTTTTGCATAGAATAAAAAGAATATCCTTGAAAAAATATGATAAGCAATAAAAAGTAATTTCATTCAATCAAACATAGACACGCAGGTAGAATACTAACATTAGTTTAAGGAAAATATATTGTAACAGGGACCTTGACCTGAGACATACATAAATCATATACAAAAATTAAAAACAAAACGACAACATAAGAACAGCCCATTATTGCACTTGACTTAAAACTTCATGCAGGACATTTTATATGTTAAATGAAAATGAAGAGTCTACATGAATATGTGGAGCAGCTGATTAACGAACATGACACTCACTCACATAGTAGATTGTGCATAATAAAGAATAGTCTATTGTTGAGCAGCCTATTAATGAACCCAACATGACACTTGCACAGTAGATTATGCAAAAATTTTTTTGAAAAAAAAATAGTCTGCAGTAGCCTATTACCACATCTGACATACATGTAACACTCACATAGTACATTATATATGAAAAATTAAAAAAAAAATCTACAAGTGTAGCAGTCTATTACCACACCAGCCATAATATTCACAGAGTAGATTATACATGAACAAGAGGCCCATGGGCCACATTGCTCACCTGAGCACAATTGCTAGGCAAAAACACAAATCAGTTCAGTATTGAAAAGATTAAGGGGGGGGGGGGCTTGAATTTTAAACTACCTGATGATGCTTCCACGACAATATAACAAATGGCTCTGTTTTTACAGGAGAAATTTTTTTTTAAAAAATTGCCATATATTCCTTTGTAAAAATTTGATCCCCCATTGTGGCTCCTCCCTATTCCAGGGGTCATCATTTGAACAAACTTGAATCTACACTACCTGCCCTTGTGAAAATAGACCAGGATATCCCAAGATTTCTTGAGATTTTCTCAAGATATCTTGGTTAAAAATCCCAGGAAGTCTCAGGATTATCCTGGTTCCTAACCTCAGGAATTGTCAGGATGGTATTGGAACAAGGATTTCTCAGGATTTCACAGGACATCCTGGTAAAGCAAAATATCCTGAGATATCTTGAGAATTCCTGGGACCACAATTGTCCTGACCTCAGGAATATTTCACTTGTTTCATGGCAGTACAAAAATCCTGAGATGTCTTGAGATTTCCTGGGATCACAATCCTGTCATCATCCTAGCCTCAGGAATTTGACTTTGAAGTGTAAAAATTCTGAGATATCTTGAGATATTCCTGAGATCAACAATCCCCTTACTATCCTGAACTCTGGAATTTTGTCACTTCTTTCAAAAACAGATTCAAGTTCTCAAAATACATTTTAAATATCGACAATGTCCCTCTGTACACTAAAAAGACAAAGAGTTATTATTTAGGCAAATTATTCTTTAATCAATTTTTTTTTCTTTGGAACTTTAAAAGTCTTTCATGATGTAAAGATGGTAACATTGACCCCAGGGATGCATTCTGTTATTAGACCTGTAAAAGTAAAGATGCTTTATTATTCTAAAACAATCACATTAATGTTTATATTAATGGTTGAAATGAAAAAAAAAAAAAAAACCATACAACTTTATGTATTTTTTTGCTTTTTACACTTACAACATCTACTTGTGTTAAAACACAACTTTACCTTCATTTAATGTTCTCTTTTCCTCGACAAGGCCCCTTTTTTGGTGAAAACACCAATAAACTGGAAGTCATCAGCTTCTCTTTACTGAAAAATATAAATGACAGGTAGTTGACATATTTCTTCTTTTTAAACAAAAGACTAGTCAGCTTCTTCTTTAAAAGTGAATGAGAATGAAATTGTTAATAGGTTCTATCAGCATTTTTTTTCGAGTTTCTTAAAAATATCTTTTAAATTTGAACCATTTAAAAATATCAATAAAAATATACCAAGTTTATTCCATGGGCAAGAGGTCTTCTCATCATCGCATCTTCCAAAATGTTACTGCTTTTGCTATTTGTTTCTGTGGGGGAAAGATAGATCATAGAGTTTATATATAATATTATCTGTTGCTCCTGAGTCCAAGTACAATATTATTACAAATTATGCATGCACTAACCAGGTCTGGTACAATCACTAGATTTAGCTACATAGCTTGAATTACCTACATAGCTTTATTTACCTACCTGAAGTAGCTTTATTTAGCTACTAAATCAAACTTATTTCATAAACTAGCATTTTTCCCAGAAAGTGCAGAAAATTGCACTTTGATGCAGTGATAATTTTCAACTTTTAACTCATCTGAAAACAATTCGTGAAAAATTCACTCTTGAAAATGTGTCTTTTTCTGCACAATTGCAATCAAAGTTCTCAAAGTTTTGGGGCTTTAATTTGTGACCTAACCGTTACTTCTTGATTGAAATAACAAAGAAAACCAGTTCTTGTTAACATGAGCACAATGTGAAGTAATCATACTTATCCATGCCTCATTGCACACAACGTGGTGTATAGTTACTCAAACAATGGAAATACATCTTTTCCTTAAAAGTGTTCAAACGCAGCAATCTTAAAAGATGCTTTTTAAATAATAACTAAAATAAATATAAGTTATAAGACATTTACTTGCAATTTTTTGTCTTTTTAAAATAAAAAGCAAAATTGTGAAAAGTTGCCTTGAAATAGCTAAATAAATCTACCCGAGGTAGGTAAATAAAGCTACGGTAGGTAATTTTAGCTATGTAGCTAAATGTACTGGACCTGCTAACAGGCACTGGAAGTTAAGGACCCTCTCTACACTCCACCCTTATTTCAGGGTACTTTTGTGTAGTTAGACTGACCCATCATTTGATATAGAAATAGAATAAATTTTAACCTGCAGAGTATGACATAATTTAAAATAAATCCAAGTATTCTAAACAACATATTAGACCAAGATAGATTAGTTGAAAACTTTATTTGCATGTATTTTCACCATTTGAGAAAGCAAAAGTGAATTTTATTTATAATTACTTCATTATCTTTGTAGATTTTTCCTGGGTAAAAAAGGGCATGCTCCCTATATTAAAAATGAATTAGTTAATTTCAAAACATCCTGCTTTATGCTATATAATTTTCTCAAAGTCCAAAAAAAACAACATTTTTCATCAGTGTATAGACGGTCCTTAATGTAAATATTAGTATGTGCATGTATAAAAAATTTACATTAACTTCCAGTGCCCGTGCATGCACTTAATAATGCATATCATCACACCCTGCTTATTTAGCACATTTGTTTTATAAATGCCAAACTTCTGAAAGTGTTCAATTGGCAATTAACTCAAAATTTAAAAGAATACAATTTTCTTGTGAAATATTCGATATGATCATATTTGAACCACAATACCTATTATATTAAAGTTTAAATAAGTTTGAACTTATAACCAACGTCATGAAATATGAATATTCCCAGCTTCATTCCCTGAATCATTGTCCCTTTTGTGGGTATAAACATTCCAGGTTTTTTTCTCCAGGGATGCATTACTTCCTCACTGTCTGTTGTCTTCACTTTTTCATTACTTCAGCTTGGCATTCTTCAACAGCACACTTCATTTTCTATAGTTTGGTGTCTATTCAAAGTACAGTATCTCAAGCAAATCCAAATAAAATCTTGACCTCATCCAATTTGAAAAACGCGGATTATTGAAATGGGTCACGCTTTGTCATTGAACCGCTTGATTTCCCACACCATACACACTTTAAGATGAGTGCACAGTTGACCAGATAACGTTTGGTAACTTGTACGCGTTTTGATTCCATACGGGATTTAGGTACTTTTCGTTTTTAGTAGAAGAGTGCAGCTATAGCCTAAATGTTGTACTTATATTACTGTAACAGTATTGTACAAATTAATTTACGGTAAAAAAACTTCTGAACTTGAAGTTTTTAATTATTTTGTTGTAATGAATAATTATTTTACATTATGGTGCCAATGTTTATATTTATGCAGAAAAACGTCTATTTGTCTGTTTATATCGCTGTATCTATATATAAACGTTATTATTTACATAGCTAAGACTTTGATTTTATTCCCACATTCAAAATAGGTCCAACAAAACAGCAATTTCAATGGTAACAAGTCCTCAGATGTTATTATTGAGGGGTAAACCATAATATACACTGGCGGATTTAGAAGGGGGACCAGGGCGCCCGGATCCCCCTTTTGTGTCCAAAATAAATATACAAGATTTAATAAATAATTTTTTTTTGGTGTGGCTGTGGGCCCCTACCCCAACTCCAAACTGGTCAGCCCCCCCCCCTTTTAAAATTTCTGGATCCGCCACTGATATAGTTTTAGGCCTATTTGTTTTATTGAATGGGCCTAGTGTATGCGCAAACTTAATAATGGGAATTGTGCTGATTATAATCCCCTAGTACCTCAAGTGCACTATTCAGTATTCATCAACACATTGAAAAAATATCATATATTGTGAATGTCTCATATATTATTATATGTTGAGTCTTGACTTCAGGGTATTCTAGGACTTAAAATTTAACAGTCCTCAGCTCAAGATATCCCAGGACTTATTTGATTCAGTTGGTTTTAGTTCAGAAAATGTCAAGAGTCCTGAGATTTCCTTATGTCAGGACTTGATCTCTTGTAAAAGTCCCGAAAAATCCTGGGAAAATCTTGTTCTGGTGAAGAGTTAACATGAAGTCCTGATATTTCCTGACAAAATCCTGTGCCTGATGTCAGGATATCTCAGAATTTGACAATTGTCAGGAGCAAAAATTTTGGATAGCAGGGCATGTCAGGATATCTCAGGAAAATCCCAGGATATCCTTACTTCTCCTGACCCTCCAGGATTTATTTCTGCAAGGGTGAGGATGCTTCCATATAAATATGACTCATCATGGCTTTGCTATTCTTGAGAAGAAAATTTTTGAAGATTTTACCTATATATTTCTATGTAAAACTTTGATTCTCCAATTGGGTCCCTCCCTACCCCCGGGGGTCATGATTTGAACATACTTGAATCTACACTACCTGAGGATGCTCCCATATAAATATGACTTATCATGGGTTTGCTATTCTTGAGAAGAAGATTTTTCCTATATGTTTCTATGTATAACTTTGATTCTCCATTGTGGCCCCGCCCTACCCCGGGGGTCATGATTTGAACAAACTTGAATCTACACTACCTGAGGATGTTTCCACATGAGATTCATCTTTCCTGGCCCTGTGGTTCTTGAGAAGAAGATTTTTTAAAGTTGCTATTCATTTCACTAATTCTTAATTATCTCCCCTTGAAAGAGGGCGTGGCCCTTCATTTGATAAACTTGAACCCCCTTCACCCAAGGATACTTTGTGGCAAGTTTGGTTGAAATTGGTCCAGTGGTTCTTGAGAAGAAGTCGAAAATGTGAAAAGTTTACAGACAGACAGAGAGACGGACGCCGGACAAAATGTGATCAGAAAAGCTCACTTGAGCCTTCAGCTCAGGTGAGCTAATAAAAGTCTATATGTGGAGTGTCTGTTACCACTTCAGATGTAACACTCAAACAAGAGATAATATGAAATTGACAAGAAAAGTAGTATATTTTAGTTCAGTTTCATCAAGTGATTCTTGTCCTGCTTTTTTCATGTTTTTGGAAGAGATGGAAAGTCATTCTTTAGTAGAGCTGCAGTAGTTGAATCATTATCAGCATGAATGGTCTGGATCTCACATTCATATACACCTTACTTGTTAAAATTATCTGAAATATAAAATTTAACATTACTATCTGGAGTCCACATCAAAATATATTCCCCAAAATGTCTATATCCTACATATAGAATTTCAGTGAACATGTACTATATATACATGTATAACTTGCAGAAGTTTACACCCCATAAATTGCCAATTTTCTACACTTATCAAATTTGGCATGACAAAATTCAAATGATGACTTTACCAGTATCACTTTTATACTAACAGCAAGACCCCTTGGTCTGCTATCCAGCATCAAAACTACATTCCAGCTGGTCCGGTTTAGTATTCTTCGTCTCTATCCATCCAACAAGATTCCTTGGCCTGGTTCCACAATAGAGGCCGACATCTATTTTTCTTCAATGTGGTGACACCATGTGGTGTTAAAGGTACTGAGAAAATTTACTACATGGGATGGTCCCATACCAGAATGTACCATCAAGTTAGCTGAAAAAAAAATAGATCAAATAAATATATACAGGCATAAACAAAATTTAATTATGGTTGATTAGAAAATAAGTTTTTAACCGGAAAATCTTACACAGAAACTGGACTTATCAAGAGAAATGCCCATGCTGCCTGACCAATATTCTAACTATACAGCAGTAGTAAAATAAAGGATTGAATTTTATCAGACCAGCAAACAACATGCAAACAGTTTCAATATGTACCACCTTGTCAAACTTTTTTCCAGTGAAGAAAAACAAATCTGTCCCCAATCATCTTGGAAATAAAAATAAAAAATCTGTCCTTCACTGAAATGTTAATAAATAATCTGACACCCATAAAATCCCCCCTCCCCAAATCAAATGGCAGTTCCTTACATGCACTGAGTTTACTAAGGAGAAGTTTTATATTCATGCTGAATTACAATTATGACATAAGTTTGAAATGGAATATACATCATGTTAATCATGTTAATATTTATTTGACTTACCAAGAGCTACTTTTGAGTTGATACCAAAGGCCTCTCTATTGTATTCCTTTCCCGTGGAAAAGGTGTTGGTAAATCCACAAACAGTACAGTTCCATCAGTCACCATCATTTGGGTCCAATGTATTGATACAATAAAGTACCGAGTCAACGTTTTTGAAGTTGTAAAAAATGCAAATGAATGCCTTCATCTTGTGGCTGTAAGCATAAAAACTGGACTGCCAAGTTCTTCAGCTCAACAACTCTTCGTCCTTCGTTCCATTTTGATGTCATTATATGATCTACATCAGCCGTGTCGTCTGCTTGAAATAGGGCCATCAGGGGTGTAAGTCGTTTGCGACGTGTATATATCCGATTATTCCAATTCATAAAAAAAG